ATTCGACAAATACTAGTAATGAAAGCTTTAATAATTCAGTTATATTAAAAATTTTACTACAGGTGGTGTGCTAACTTTATATCAAGTTAGCAGGGCTACCCCTTATAAAAAAAGGAGATGCGCGACAATTATTTTTCTTTCACGACAAATTCTCGACAATTATTCGACAATTAAAAAAGTATATTTCAATAATTTTACTGCAAGTTGCCTTGCTAACTTTATGGAGGTCTGTAACTAACAAGTTTAGGATAATATAATATGAAATATTTTTAGACGCGTATGAGCACTGAATAAAACCTGCGTACACCACCTGTTTGTAAATTCTAACCTGCAAATAGAGTTCAAAACATCGCAACAGGTTTGTTCTGGTTCTAACATCCGAAACTGTTTGGAAATTACGCGTACAGACATGCAAAAAATGTCAAATAGTTCGAAATAGTCTCGGACACTTGGTTAAACCAGAACGCATTTTGAGGAGACCACTGTGCCGCCTGTTATTGAAAAGGCTCCCAGACAACTGCATCCAGAACCTTCTGAACATAATAAACAGTTCGTTGGCCCTCAGATACCTCCACAGAAGGTGGAAGCATACGGTCGTCATCATGCTTCCGAAACAGGGTCAGAACCCGCTGTTTCCTCATAACTACCGCCCGATTACTCTGCTTTCGTCAGCGGCTAAGTTGACTGAAAGGGTCGTTCTGCAAAGGCTCAACGAAGAAGTTGAAGACCGAAATGTTCTGCCTAACGAACAATTCGGATTCAGGAGAGACCACTCCACCGAGTTACAGGCTCTGAGGCTGGTCGAAAATACCATCCAAGTACTAAACCACAATCGAAAAGTTCACGTAGCCCTTTTGGACATCTCGAAGGCCTTCGACCGTGTTTGGCACGAAGGCCTTCTACACAAATTAGACGGGGACTGATCCGGTGGATCTGGCCCTTCCTGAAAGACAGAACTTTTCAGGTCAGAGTAAAGGGCTCTCTGTCTGACAACAGAGACCTCCCGAGGTCCGAGCTCTCTACTCATCTTCCATGGGTCGAGAGTTCGGGATCGTCTATATGCAACGTGCATTGGACGACCTCGAGCGCTGGTACCTTGAGTGGAAGATCCGAGTGAACCCAGAAAAAACCATGGGAAGAACGGTATCTTCTTCGGCTACGAGAGTGGAAGGGAGATTAACTGGCAAGCGCGGGTAAAGTACCTCGGCCTTCTAATAGACCTCAGGCTCACTTGGAACCCACACTTTATATCAGTTGAAACAAGGATCGAGGGTCGGATAGCCAGTTTGTACCTCTGATCAACAGAAGATCCAAAATGAGTCTCAAGAATAAAATTACCATCTATAACACGATGGTCAAGCCTGTCATCATGTATGTTTGAGGAACGCTCTATATCAACTGCGCATGATACTGACGTTCTAGAACCTGACTTTCGTAGAACAAGAACAAACCTAACATATCGCTCCAGTTATTGTTATTTTCAAAATGATTTGAATGAGATTCAAAATAATGGTTGAAGTAAGTACACCTATTCATTGGTGGTTTACTGTGAACAAATATAAAATTCATTAATATTCACATCGCAATTGGAAAGATGCATTTCACATGTAAGCTCGAAAAATTTAGAATGCACTTTCGATATATTACATAAGCAACATTTTTCAGGAAACACAATGAAATTGAGAGTTCATCAGTTGGTTATATTTTTTCTACATCCAGAGTTCTTTCGGCAGTCCGAGTTTCTGCATATGATGATTCAAATGACAGTGACCTGTAAGAAGGCCTGTTAGACATCGTAGTTCATCCCTACTGTAGTCGAACAACTGTTTGGTATCAAGCTGCGAAGGGTGAATAAACGCCTTGGAGTGAGCCAATCTTGGAAGATTCTGCCAGAAGTCCATGAATCTTTTTGCCATCCAGGTATTCAATGTTTGTTTTGCAAAGCCTAAAGCGATGCCAATGACAGGTTCTGGTCCAATGAAGCCGCTTGCAGCACCCTCCTTTGCAAGTGAGTCCGCACCTTCCAGGCCAGCATGGCCAGGAATCCAGACCAGAGACAATCTGTTAAGTCTTTCTATCGAGGAGAGTCGTTTTTGGCAATTTGCTACCAATTTAGACGTTGCTCGGTAGGAGCCAAGGGCTTCCACTTGTGTATGAGGTTGGATTCTTTCAATCTCTCTGCACACAATTCAATAGCGCAAATTTCCGTTTGAAATACAATCGCATAGCTTCCTAGGCAGGTAGATAACTCTGTCCTGGGTCTGCGACTAAAAACACCTGCACCAGAACCGTAAGATGTTTTTCATTCATCTGTGAACCAACAACTATCTGCTCTTAATATTTCCTTCTCCCGGAGGATCCAGTCCTCTCTACTCGGGAACAGTACTTCATAAGGCAATTCGTAGTTTACAGTTCGAGGCATAAAGTCAGAGGTCATTTCCAGAATTCTGTGACTTCCAGAGTCAACCAATAGTCTGTTACACTCTGCATTGAATTGATTTGTGCAATTGGCAATGTGCACAAGTCAGTATGTAGTCCATCTAGCCTCTCCAGACGAATGTGGAGAGGAGGTAGATCTAGAAGGATCTACATGCCCGCTGACGATGTGGTACTGATGGCATCACTGATAGCCAGACAAGCCTGTCTCTGTAAGCCAGAGAGCTTCGCCTGGGCCTTTTTCTGTGAAGCCTTATTCAGCCACCAGGCAATTGCATACTAGTACACTATAAAAAATATGCAAATCCAATATAATCTATATAGAAATCTTTGTCAACTCAGAATCGGGATACAAGCATGGATCTGGCTAAAAATGTTACGTCGTTAGAGATGCACCACACAAGTTAAGGTAAAAGGTTCAAACGTGTCGAGAACTGTGTGGCATTAGGGTAGATAAAAATTAGAAATTAGAAACTTGAAAACAAAATAAGTAAAAAAAAAATATGTTAAACTTACCGTATATTGCTGAGGAGAGTGATACGATGACTGCTACCTAGGACCTTCCGAATTATTCTTTAGTTTTTAGTACATTTTTCAATGAAACCGTTTAACATAATTTTTTTTTTACTTATTTTATTCAATCCTTCGACCCATTTCTGGTATTTTGGAAAACGATTGGGATTAAGAAACATAAGAGAGGGTCGAAAATAGTTCACATATAATCTACAATATTGTATTGAAATTTTAGCCAACTTTTATTATACTACATTTCATTGAACAGATTAGTCAGCAATACGATCTTTAATTTAGCCATCCCCTCAAACTCCAAGGAAATTGACAGTGAACAAGTGTATTAGGCATTTCCGAGCCAAATTAGACACAACCAACAAATTTTTGGTACTTTTTCGTTAACAATATTATTTCGAGTTTTCGTTACACCACCCTGTATACGTACTAACCTAGACCTGGTCAGGTGGCTTGACTTTTCATCAGAAGTTCGTCTTCTAGCCGCCTCGTTACTCCGGCAAATTGTCCTCGAAGTATCTTCATTATCCGCGGTTTCCACCAACAATTGGCCCTTGTAATCATATAGTTGGATAACCGGAAGAATAATGTGCGGTGAAGACTTCGAAGTAGATAATTCCCAGTGCCAACTTTTCGGCTTCCTCAGCTGAAGTCTAATGATTTCCGGAATGGTAGTGCCGGAAGAAGGCATCTTTTCCATTCTGAAAACAAACGTTCCTGCTAAAAAAAACTGTGCCTTTGATACTCGTAAGTTTGTTTCATTTAAAAGTATTGAAATATGTAGGTATTAGCCGTGAAACCTCATGTAGTTTGTATGTCAAAATGATTGATTACGTAGAATTATAAAATCATCCGAAGATTTGAGAAGTGAAATTTGAATGTCATAAAAGATCATATTCAGTTGAGATACCATGGATATCGCATTTTTCGCATTTTCCACTAATGGAAAATCAGAGCCCAAACACAACGCATTTATGATTCAACACGAGACAGCGCTGTTGTGACCCTCCAAAGGCCTCATCAGTTGTGCTAGGCTGAACCACAAATGCATTGCTGGACTCAACTGTCCTTAAAGGATAAGCCTGTTTGAGTAAGGGCGTTAACTTCTCCCCCATTTGCGGGATCGATAGAGAACTCAATCCTCGAACATCAAAGATAAACTGGGCTCCTCAAGGCGGTCAGTTGTAAAACCAAACCCTGCACCTTGTGTCGGGAACCTCTATACTCAACTGCGCAAAATTATGGTGTTATAGACACCATCCTGGCAGGCCCCAATGAACCCCTCAGTTCCCGACTTCAGCCCACTCGACCGGAGGAAAGCGAAGATCAGGTGCTTTGATAAGCCGAAGTCTTGAATGTTGTCAAAGAAGACCCCATGCATCGGCGTATTCTTGTGTTGTACCAAGAGTGAAGTGATCCCTGTGGCTTTTATATTGGCAAAACGGGTTCCAATTAGGTGATATAGTGTGATCAGAGTCTAAAACCGAACCTAATTCATCATCCGTCGGGCAGCTGCCCTAAAGAGAAATGCTTCAATTTCTGCTCTCTCATGGTCGCGAACCATGCAGAGAAGGGAATCCAAACTCCTAATGACTTTACAGGCTCCATCCTGCACTATTTCTTGTTGTCGGGGTATGTAAAACCGTGGGACGGACGATTTGGGATGCAAACTTCTATGAAGATGCATCATTTTTTGGGTTTTTACGTGGAGTTGATACAGCTCCTCTAGAGTCTTGTCTACTACTCCAAACGAGTAGAGTAAGATTGGAATAGCAAGCATATTCGTTGCAGTAACTTTGTTCTCTCACGACAGTTCCGATGACTAAATCTGTCGGAGTTTGTACTGATTCTTGCCGCGGAGAGAGATCTTATTGTTTAAGATGAACCGTTGCAAATTTATGGCGAAACCGCCAGAGTGGTATTAGTTGTTCAAAGCATCTCACTATTTTGGCGGTAACTGCAAGGCATTTGAACAAATGTGAGATGAGCTCATGCAATATGTATCAACTGCTTTGCGGTAATCGATCCAGTCCATAGAGAGGTTACGCTTGTACTGTATCAAGTCCTGCGTTACACATCTCTCGATGAGCAGGTTCTCTTTACATCCTCTTTACTCCTCTCTTCGACTCTCTGTACTCACATATCCGTTCAGATAATTGATCAATTGCGGTGAGTATTCTTGTGTATACGATGCTCGTAAACAACTCACACCACGAATTTAAGCATGTTATCGTTCTGTAATTCTTAGGAATCGACAAATCTCCGCTTTTAGGGATGAGAACGGTCCGCCCCTCGACAAACCAATCCGGAATCGGCTGCTCTCCGTCCAGTCATAAGTTAAAAACTCTGGCCAGATGTCCAGAGAAGATGGAAGCTCAGCCCATATGGGCCTGGAGCAGCAAAGTTCTTGGAACAAAGGGCTCTCCGAACGTCATCCGGGGTTATCGGGTTGTGCAGTTCATTGAGCTCAGGCTGTAGAAGCTATCTGCTGAAAGCTTCGAACCGCACTAGGGCTGGAGTGTCTAAGTTGAGTAGCTGCGTGTGTTCATAAATGCCCTTCCAGAAGGGATCCTCTTGTTCAACGGTCAGCGGATTATCAACAACACGTTGATGGTGTTGGAATAAGCGGGAAGATCTCTCGCGGAACTTGAAGTTTTCCGCGATGTATCTTGCTCGCCTCACTGGTGACTTTGTAACGGCCACTAGAATTCGTATCCTATCAAGACAGTGCTGTTTGGTGGTCAACAGCACGCCTTGACTCAAAGTGTGATGGATACCTACATCGTAGTCACACATTGGATACGAGACGTGTTTTGTCTCGCCAACTTGATCTTAGCCTCCATCTTTTGTGTACCCCCCGTTCAATTTACCGAGCCGCCAGGCCGGAATTCCGTCCCTCAGATTAGGAAAGCGATTATAAGTTCTTGTGGCTTATTATATTTTTTTTTCGTCATCCTAAGGTTGCGCTGGTCAAGCCATATCCCCCCGAAGCCCCGATACATTCAGGAGGCTGCGGCAGCATTATCAACCAAGTCATAGTTTATAAAGTTATTCAGTGATCATTTCATTTTGAATGTATATGATAATATTGTATTGATACTTAACTGACCCCCCAACCAGCTCACTTTTTGTGAACGTCCACGACACTTTAGCGACCTTTTTAATTGTTCCCAACAATGTGCTTCGACTGAACTATGAACTAGTACAGCATCATATATACTTTTTTTATATGATAGATTTGCTTGTGAAGATAACTTTGTTTTCCAAGTCATTATTTCACAAAACAGTATGAAACTTTTAAATTGCCACTCTTTCAACATGACGACGCGCTTGTCACGTGATGAAAAGGTCTATTTGTCAGACCACAGCCTACTGTTGGTTTTATTCGTACTACAGTAATTCAATCTGTCAATTTATAAATATATAAATAAACACAATCCACTACATATAGAAAAATAAGTAGGTAGGATTTTAATAGCTGTCTCATCAATTTTTATGAGTTTACGCATTGCGTATTTATGTATTTAATTTACGTTATATTCGTGAATATTTTTGTAGAGTTCGTGATTGAAACATTCCGCAGTATATTCCGAATTTTCTCAAGTAGTACTGTATCTCGAGAAAACCAAGTTTAGCGACGATGTTCAACACGGATTCACTCACTGGTGCTTCGTCAAATAATTTGATTGCCGTTTTGGTTGACTTGACTTGATAAGGACCTATTCATACATCTTAGTCCTTGTCTCTGTCTTAATGTTAGTCTCAATGAAAAAGTTCAAGGTTTAGGTAGGTACTTAAGTTTCCATAAAATCATTCATACGTTTTTTGACCTTGTCTTAGTCTTTGTCCATAAATTGTGACCTCCAAAGTTACAATTACAAATACCGATTGATGGGCAAATTGAATTCAGTTGATTGTTGATCGAGTTATAGTGATTGGAAAACAATTTAATTTTTATGGTTTATTATTCTACAAAATGAGTCTATAAAAGGAACTTTCGTTCAAATTGTTGGCAAATCGCACAATCACTTTCAAACTGATAACACATAGGTACTATAACTATGGCCACATGACATTTATTTATATTAATTGTCCCAATTCTTACGATTGAAATTATGCTGAATAAATTGATCAGTCTCAAAAGTTAACACTGTACCTATGGCCACATGATATTTATCAATATTCCAAATTTTTAGGATTGAAATTATGATGAATAAATTGGTCAGTCTTAAAAGTTGTTGAGACAACGACAAAGTCTAAAAAGGCGTTTGGGTATGATATCTGCTTTTCTCCATACATTAGTTGGTATTCTCTAAACTTTTCTGGAATGATAACTTGCATTATCCATCATAATCACAGAGTTAGGTGGAATGAGGTTTGTCATTAGTTTGCTAGGCCGCTTCAATTTATTTTGCCGCCTTATATCTTTATTTTGCAAAAACTCCCAAGATATTATTTCAAATTGTATACCAAGAGTGTAAAGGGCAATCTCATAATGTTCGTGAAACGCTTAAAGTAACTATCATATTCAATTTGATAAGGGTATTTCATAGAACAAGTAATTTATACAAAGCATTAATGAATTAGGTATACACAAACCTTCCTCTTCAATTACTTCGACACGTCCAGACATACGCGGTGGAAGGACGTTTGTTTTATAAGGTAGTCATTATACAAAAAAGCATTAGCTTAATACATTTTGAAAACCATGATCGATTGACATTATTTCCAGAAAAGGAAGATGATAATATAACCTCAAAATCCAAATTTTAGAATTAGTGTAAAATAGCTCGAAATTATTAACTTCCGAAAATTAGAATTACCTGTCAAAAATGTTGATTGTCATGATTAGGTACCGATTTTTAATTTTAATCGGTAAAACAGGTCTAGCACATTTAATCGCTGTAAAACAAAACTTTGAAAACTACACAGCCTTCAACTTCTTCATTGCTTTCATTCATTGCGGAAAATAATTCTGAAGAAAATCCGAGCACTTACCTATGAAAAAGCTTATATTTAATTGATATCCTATGTCATTGATATACAGACGAGATTACACAACTTTCACACTAGAATCTCTGTTTAAAAACTTCCCGCACAGCCACATAAGTAAAGCCATTTAATGTTTTTTCACAACTGTCACACACAAACAATTATCAAACACAGACTTTTTTTGCTTCACGTTACTTGGCACGCTCACTACCACCTGATCAATGTTAGGATTTTCGAATTTTCGTCCATCTTACGTTTTATTTTTATCTTGTTTTCGACGTTGGCGCTGCCCGTGTTGAAAACTGACTGAGGAGGCGTTGGAATTCTGGCTGACCGATCTTTTATAACTATTTTTAAGTCAACATTCGATTTCGTTTTTAATGTAAGATCAGTGAATACATGTAGGTGAAGATTCGAAATTATTCTGCACAGGGTGTTCCAATAATGTTTCCATTGACAAACTGGAATATAACGATGTGTTAATGTTATATGCTTACGGTAGGTACCCTAACAACGCTTCGAAAATCCCGGAAAAAATAATCGAAAGCCGGGTTACAAATTATCTCAATTAGGAAATGCTGCTGTCCCAAAAACAAGCCGGTTTCAGACCGATGCACAGGCGTGAGACAGCACTTGCAAATATTAGGTAACAATTAGGTAGGACTTACGATTCTAACGAAATCACTCTCTTGGATTACTCTACGGCGTTCGATACTCTCAAACATGACATGCTTACAGTTCATCTGTTGAGTGAAACCACTGTAGATCAAGCATTGATTATATTTGTAGTAATTTATATGATTTAAATGTTTCATGCACAGTTATTCCATCTGGATTATCTAATCATGAAGCAGCAAAGTGTTCAGTTCTTCTACAATTACCAAAAAACATACCATAAGTAAGCATGGTGGATTGTTCAGTCGCTCAAACTGCGATAAGTTCAACCAGATTTGTCTCTGGATTGACTAGGAGAGCACATTATACAAATGTGATCAATTTTTGTCATATCACAATGACTTTCGCGCCCTGCATTTAGTGTCCAACCGAAACTGGTTTTTACGACCGAAACTGAAAACGAATTTCGGCAACGGTCTCAGTTTCGGCCGAAACCGATTATGTTTTGAGGGAAAAATAAAGAAAAGGTTATTTTAATTCTGACACAATTGATGGGTTCTATTGCTCAAAAGATAAGCAGTACGATCCATGTCCCTTATGATCCATTGATCTGCTTGAACGATATAAAAGTTCATGATAAATTATGTGATACTGATATACATGAACTGGTTAAAACTTTACATCGCATTAAAAAAAAATTCAGCAGGTTATCTACTACTCAACGCCCCAGAAACGTTGGTTACCCCCATTAACACGCCTAAACACGCATAAACTCCTTCGAAAATAGACACCAGGTGGATTCTATTTACACAGATTTTTCAAAGGCATTTGACCGAATAAACCACAATTTGTTGTTGCATAAACTAAACGCTTTGGGTATTCAAGAAAACATTCTGAAATGGATTGAAAATTATCTAGCCTGCAGAGTACAATTTGTAAAATATGGTAACTCAGTATCTTCCTCAATCACAGTNAGAGGACTTCAATGACTTTTGTTTGCTGATGACCTGAAGATGTTTAAAGTTATTCATGACTCAACTGATACAAAATTATTACAGTACGATTTATCTAACTTTGTTCGCTGACATACAATTTACTATATTTTCACCATAAAGGGTTTACAAAAAACGCGTCACGTGTTTCGCTAAACAAAAGCTTCCTCAAGCCAGGATATTAATTTAAATTTACAATCATTTTATGTTGTGTTGTGTTCTCGAAATCAAGATATCTGAATTCATGAAGTGAGTAGCATATATTCCAAACTGGACTGTTTCTGCGTTCCTTTAATGCGTGTTTTGAATGATCTTTCAGTTTTACCTATGTAAAACGTCGGACATGATCCACATGACAATCTATGAACTCCTGATCTATTTGACACCAAAATATTGTCTTCATTTTTATTATGCATGCTCAAGTTATTGGTTTTACAAGTCGTGTTTGCGCACCATCATTTTGTGGGAAATCTTTATGCTACGTTGACCGGAATAAGTTGAGCTCAACTTATGTAGTGGTAGTTTTTGAAATGCCTAATTCGAAACTATTCCTATAATCATTCCAATGAGGAATAAATATGGAGATATGATTAGAACACAGGTAAATGTTGTTTCATGAAAGCTATTCTGAATTGCCTCCTACTTTACAAGGAATGGTTAACAAAATCTAAAAACAATTTTGTGAGAACGGTCATGTAGTTAGTGTTTGAGAAGAGGGTGTCCTTGCGGATGAAAAACCTTTTCTCACAAGAACTATGAAGCACCATCAATGCACATTCCGCTCACCAAACTAGCATCAAAATGACTGAAACTAGACCTTGCAACTTAGTCAGAGTCTTTTATATACATATTGGATGAAATATTAGCTTTTCTCATATTTATACCAAAGATTAAGACATGATAATGTAGGAGTATATGCATAGAGTACTTATAGATTCATTTTGAGGATAGTAATTATAAGTGACAGTTTTATATTCAAGACAAACATGATTTACCACAGACTTACTAACGAAAGGTCGGTCTCAGGGAGTCCTCAACAAGGACTCTACTTTTTATGTGGATAAAATTTAAACTCAAATCAGGGAACTATTATCAACACTCATTTCAACAAATACTCTTGCTTTTTTTTAATTTTGTACGAGTCTATGGAAATAGGCTATATTGAAAACCGCAAAAAAATGTGAAAAATATATATTTGAAGAACTTCTATCATTGGTATTATCACAATCAAGTGTAAAAATTAATACAGCAATAAAAAAAGGTGTGGCAACTTCAGAACTATCCAGTTACACAAAATTTTCCAGGCGACGATGTACATACAGTTAGTGGAAATCTAATTTCATATCTTCACAAGAATTTGAATCTCTAAAATTAAATCAGGCTGAAAATTTTGTTTACATAGTGGGATTTTCTTGTGTTCCTGCCAAATTTCTCAATTATCAGCGTAGATGTTAAAAATTAGCAGCAATAAAATATTGCTTTTTTATGACGGTTCCTTAAAACTACACATGATGGTTGGTATGAGTGTTTTTCTAATTTCGATCTTTAAAAAATACAGTGTCTCGAATCAAAACTTTTGCCCAAGCTTAAATAAATACTTAAATATTTGACAGACATATAGTGACTGAAAAAAAGGAAAACTATAAACAATAAAAAACTGGCAACATACTAACAAGATTTCTGAGTTGAATCAAATATTTCCGATATAACTAGTGAATTATCATTCTTAGGAATTCACAAATGAAACATTTACTTATATTTTACAGGCGATAAAGGAACCACCAGAACGGTCTACTAATATAAATATCATACCATGTTTAAAGGGTGGATTATGATGATATTTTTTTACAGAAATTCAATTTTTTTCTACTGAGAAATCATTTTCATTCTGAATCGTGAGTATACACTGGCCTAAAAATATTAACCTGGGTGTGCCGCAAGGCTCCATACTAGGACCCTAACTGTTTTTACTGTACGTCAATGGGAATTATACGGCCTGACTCTGACAGTGTTTTTCCCAAGAGAAATGCATGTATTGTGACACTGGGCTGAATTGATTGCGATACTAACGTTTAAACTGAATATTAGTATTAAAACAAAAATTAATGGAATCCAATGAACGAAATGTCACATTGAAAGATCCTAACAAACCTAAAACAGCCATTGAATCACAATCTTAAAAATATTTTCATTGTCCCTCAAATTGGCAACTTTTGTCTAATTTAACCACCCTTTTCAGTTTTACCATTTCCAAGCTAGCAATGATGGAATACGGTTAAATATGGTATGTATAGGAAATTTTAAACACAACTGTAAGGAAGAATATTTGTAATGAAATATGATTGCTAATAGTATTTATTTTTTCAACTAATCATGAAGATGATTACTCAACCATTGTATTTACAGTGTTCATCATGTTTTAAAAATTATATTTCATCTGGGAAGGAAATCACATCAATTTTTAAATTTTGGGTGAAAAGAATTATTTTTTTTTATAAAAAACAACATGCTATACTTGCGATTTTAAATCGAAATGATTTATTCTCAATAAACAAAAATACAACGGTTTCTACAAAAAAAAATGGGGTCCAAGAATTTTTTATTCAACACCGCTATTTGAACACCATCAGCAATAATCACGGATTATAGAAGTCCTGACTACTGTTATCACTCTCATCATCTAGATTTGTGGTGCAAAATGAACTGAAAAATAACCATCATAGATAAATGTATTCCTACAAAACTTGGACCGTGTAGTCGGACTTAATTTTACTTACGAACACCTCAAATGAATAAAACAAATTTTTAAAAAACTTTTAAAATATATTGGAGATCAGTTCAAGTTCAAAGAAAATATGGTGAGGCCATTTTCAAAGGGATAACCCTTTCTGAATCTGCAACAGCCTGGAACAATTTGGGTTCGACTTTGTCTATAGCGTTAAATTCTAAAATACTGGCAATGTTTCCACATCTGTAACAATAGTTTGGAGCAGACCATACAGTAACGAGTTTATTGTCAAACATATATTTATAACCTGAAAATAGAAATAATTAGTAATTATTAAAAATTTGCTTAGTCACTTTATTATCAGAACATAGAAAATTATGTAGAATATTATATCATGGCTTGGAACAAGAACAACCAATGTCAATTTTTTTTACAATTATATGATTTTTTCTCCACCCCCCTCAGACGGTATGGAAAACTCGGAGGTACAATTCGTATTGCTCTATTGTCCATCAGGAATAACGTATCTCAATCTTGTACATGTCAAAGTGAATTTTTCAATATAGGAATTTTCAAAATATTTCCCCTATTTTCACCCCTTCAGAAGATATGGAATACCATAGCTTCTTCCCCAAGCAATTTTGTTATTTGTGCAGACTTGAATATATCACCAAATCACCATTTGTTCTTGAAATTTTCAATGTAACACGATTGAAGACACATTATTTTTTGAGATATGCAATATCAACTCTGATGTTATTTTCAAACGTGTGAACATTTTTTCCTTCCATGATATGGTTGTAGGTATTATCAATAAATACCGAAATAGGAATCCCAATATACAAACTCACTTGAAAATAATTTAAGCATAAATAGAATACATAATATGGTTTCTGGTGTGTCATTGAATAGCAAAAAAAATAAATCATAAAAGTGACCACTTTCAAACTAATCAAGTTCAAGATATATGGGTACAACTGAGATTTACGAATACATTCTAAACTGTGGAAATTATTTGGAGTGAACGTAAATTAACTGCCATAAACAATGAACGCCGACAGGGAACAAACAGATACTTTTCAATTGGACACGAAACAAATATACTAACCTTCTTGCACTAGTTGATGGGCCCTACATATTAAAGATAATGCATTTATTTCCATGAACTCATGAGTAACCTTTGGTCCGAATAAATAGCCAGCACCTCTAGGACTATTTGCCCTAAAACCCTGCCTCAGTGAATTGTTTATCAAAAATACTATATGATCTTACCAAGATTCTACGTCCTCAGGATCTGACCATACCATATCACAAAATGCACCTTTATGTGGTATTTCTTGGTGTCTTTCGATTGTCCTTATTTGATCTAGGGTTTTTATTTCGGGGCTGAGTCCTCCATGTACACATAAAATTTTCTCATCAATCAGCTTGAAAAAACAACATGTTTACTTTCTCTAAATATTGAGGTGCTGTCTGAAAAACTGGTGGCTATGTTCACAAATAAATGTTGCTTTAATCATCAAGTTATTAGATAAATGCTAAAAATTGACTTACGTATTTGGACTTGGGTATAAGAAATATAAATATATGGAAATTGTACTTTTCACAAAATTGAGACACCAGAACTTCAATACTCTTCTAGACACACGTTTCACCAACCAAGTTGGCGTCTTCAGAAGATGTGGTAAACTTTATCGTGGAAGTTCCAGCACATTTTAACAAAGAGCAATACAGATTATTGATTGTAGGTATAAATTTACGTTAAAAAGTCGGGCACATATGAAATAAGCTGCGACGACTGTGACAGAAAAAATATTGGTCAGACTAAGCTAGCCATCAAAATTAGTTTCAAAGAACACCGGCACATATCTGACTTCGGAAATCAAAAAAATATAGTGTAGATCAACACGTTGAGATCAGTACATCTCACTAGATTTGGATGCTTTCGAAAGTCTGGAAATAGAACAGTGTGGCATTATTACTATGAACAAAGACAAAGGTTCCATCCCAAAGAGCCCATTATTCACCATCTTTTCATCTCCTGAAGACGCCAACTTGGTTAGTGAAATGCTTGTCGAGAAGAGTATTGCAAAGCTAGTGTTTGCGAAAAGTGCTCGTTTTCGATTTATTGCCAGAGGTTCCACTTTTCACTTTCAGTTGCTTGCTACTTCTTCCATCTTTTGATTGATAAAAGCTTTGAATTTTAGCTTAAACTCATAAAACATTTCCTACTTATTAACAGTGATTCAATTGATTTGAAAGTTATAGTAATGTATAGATAATCAGTTCCTGCCTTTCTGCATATATTCACCAAGTTATCTTTTAAATACTGAAAGTGATTTGGATGTTTTAATGTTGGTAGGTAGTTTTTTATAGTCCCCACAACTCCTGTAGAAAAATGACGTCATTGAACTTGTGAGATTTTATTTGGGTAAATAGAAACTCTTGCCTTTGTCATTTCCAATATCATGATCAATTCTTCGAGATATACAGAAAGGAGTTCATTAGATATTTTGAAAATAAAAATCATAGTTATTTCATATCTACGTCTGAGTCAGTCAGCAACAATCAATCATTGGTGTGTGTGTGTGCAACATCAGAGATATTTTTGTGAACCTTTTTTACTTCAGAATGATTCGCAACTTCTGTCATTTGCTAACCACGTGTGGTTAAATCTACCTTTACTTACAGCTGCTACTGTTAACAAGTCGAAAACATTACAACAATATTTCCAAGCATTTGCATTTCCGTACTTGTTCAAGCACTCATCATAAAAACCATAAACCTGGGTGATTTGTCGGCTCTCGTGGTTACCTCGCAGTAGAGTTATCTTATGAGGGTATTTGGCTTTAAGGGTGAGCAACCTAGTAAAAGTCTCCAAGCTGAAGTATCCCCTGTCTACAAAATCTCCCAGAAAAATATAGTTTGTATCAGGCACTTCTCCGCCCCTTCGAAATAATTCTTCCAAGTCGTAAAACTGTAATGATATAGTATGTCAAATGAAAATTTTTCAAATATGTTAGTGTTTCACCTGTCCATGAATATCGCCACAAACTGTTACTGGGGTAGACACAGGTTGGACATTTGATTCTTCAACCAAAATACTGCAAACAATATCACATAATTGCTTCAATTCAGTTTCTGATAAGTATTTACACTGTCGAACACTTTCTATCCAACTGTCAAGATCAGACATTTTTATTTAATATAATGAATTACGAATATTTTTCAATTAACAACCTGAATTAAAGGTAAAGTCAACAATAAACGCCAAAATCGAACCACAGAATATTGCTTAGAATCTCAGAGTAACAAAAGACAATAGAGAGGCCTTTTCCATCCTTACATTGAAGGCAGCATAACTTTGTTTGTTTACGGGAACTAAGTTGAACCATAAAACAGTGGCAGGTTGATAATCGGAGGGATAGTATATATTTACAAAATAAATCATTTCAGGTGAAAATGTATTCTGTTCAAATAGTTCCTACACAAAATCTGATATTAATGATTATGAAAATGAGGCCAGTTTTTCTACCACCTACTAGATTTTTATTTATGTATGGCTTTATAATAAAGCGCGTGATTTACTGGGTTAAAATTAAATTATTTCATATGAACTTATTCATAACAATGATAAATGTTAATTTCAAAAGTAATGAACTTTAGCCACAAATAGTTGAAGAGGGTTCAATTTGATTTTTTTACCTTTTCTAGGCATTTAGAANCTAGCTTATATTACTGTTAAATACATATGTGTGAACTTGTTAATTATCTTGTAAAAAATAGGCATTGCCGTAAATAAATAAATAAACATTTCATTTAGGACTGCATCAATCCCCTTTTCTTTGAAGACTCATTGTCATTCTTATATTTAAAGGCGGCGATTTGGATAATCCTTCCAATCTTCGTCCCAATCAGTTTGGGTTTCAGGACGAAAAAGATATAAATAATGCAATTTTGTATTTGTTATGTGAAATTAGTTCAGTAATAAATGATGGTGATGTAATCGTCGCAATTTTTTGCGACCTCGTCAAAGTCTTCGATCGCGTTAATCATGAAAAATTACATGGTGAGAACGATGGAAATCTCCGAGACCAGAGCAACTAACGCTGGTGTACCTTCAGGTTTTCAGAGTTGAGTTGAACCACACTCTTACCATCTGACCTGAAAGATCACTCACCATATAAACTGAGTGTGAGCCACAATAAATTGCAGGTTGCGGTTGATTGTCGAATAGACCCACTCACTTTTGCCCTAACCTAACGTAACCACAGGGTTTTGTGTTAGGTCCGGTTCTGTTATATAATATGACATCACTAATATGATTGACATATCTGACAGCTTCACTCTCCTTGCAGATGATACAATATTTTGGAAAGAAGAAACCTCACCTGAGTTATATAAAAAAGTAACATTAGATTTGTATAAAGATGGTGTCATGGTAATTTATTGTCATCAAATGTACCGAAAAAAATTATAATATCGTTCGAATATCTGCTTGATGAATTCACAATAAAGAATGATATACCTAAAGTGCAGATTTGCTTTTCTTCACAGGTAATACTGAAAATGTGGCAAAAAGTTAACACTGATATACAATTTACTATATTTTCACCATAAAGGGTTAACAAAAAAGGCGTCAGGTGTTTAAAAGCTTCCTCAATCCAGGATATTAATTTAAATTTACAAACATTTTATGTTGTGTTGTGTTCTCGAAATCAAGATTTCTGAATTCATGAAGTGAGTAGCATATTTTCCAAACTAGACTGTTTCTGCGTTCCTTTAACGCGTGTTTTGAATGATCTTTCAGTTTTACCTATGTAAAACGTCGGACATGATCCACATGACAATCTATAAACTCCTGATCTATTTGACACCAAAATATTGTCTTCATTTCTATTATTCATGCCCAAGTTATTGGTTTTACAAGTCGTGTTTGCACACAATCGTTTTGTGGGAAATCTTTATGCTACGTTGACCGGAATAAGTTGAGCTCAACTTATGTAGTGGTAGTTTTTGAAATGCCTAATTCGAAACTTGAGAAAAATATCTGGTCGAGGCAGGAATCGAACCCACAGTCTTCCGATCGTGAGTCGGGCACACTACCACCGTGGCCAATTCCACAACCTCCTTTTATGAATTAAATATCTAGTGTAGTCTTTACGTTCGGGGCGTCGCGATAACCTTCAAAAAATATAAGGGAGCCGTGAAAAGTTTGAGAAACAGTGCGTTAAAGTTATATTGGACGAGACCACGGAATAATAAGCAATTCTATGAACTCATAAATGATAAAATGCTTCACATATTTTGTTAAAATAGTTTTCTCAATAAAAGGGGCCTTATTTCCAAAGCAGATAAACTCTCACATCAAAAGATACACTTTCTTCCTCTCTTTATTTTAGATTATCTTCTCCTCCAAAACAGAGAGAGGCTTCCGAGTTCATTGTTTTCATCGCCTAAATGAGACAATAGTTAATGATCAGAACTGATTAGTGTTGAAAAGTATCAGTCATTAAAATTTTTAATTATTTTTCAAAAAATGTAAATGATGATTGTACTCATTTGATTATATGAAATAAAACTTATTGGTTTTTTTTTCTCTAGTTACAAGAAATATTTGGTTCTAAAAGTTTTTTTGGTGTTTCAAATCTTAAAGTGATCAAGCTACCTTTCGACAATCACTCGTTCGAATGTTTCAAATTAAAACCCGTTATCAGCCGATTCTGTCTTTGCAGGCGTAGCGATAATAGATATATACCTTATATCATTATAATTTCTATGGTAGCGATACGTTCCGATCACAGAACTATAGTTCTGTGGTTCCGATGTAAATTACGCCCCCTAGTGGGATGTGGTCGCTACGGTTAGGTGATGAAGGTCGGCGTTTGGGATAGTCCGGAATTTCTTTGTTGAGCTTTTATCGAATATGAGTTTTTGTGTGTTCAGGTGCATTTTATATTCCTTTAATTTGTTGTGATGTAACTTATAATAATTTCTTATTGAATAAAATTGACGTCAGAAAAAAAATTCAATCATTGCTTTTAGTATTTTGTCGTTTGGTTCATCAGTTTTCGGGAAACCGTCTTTCATATTTAACCAGTTTTTCAGTAGTACCATAGTAATATTGATTTTAGAAGCACCGAATCACATTTCTGCTTACTTTTGTTTATTAGGATATGTTCCATAAGTAACTAATTCCTAACCTCCACTAACCAAAATTTTTTACAGCAGTTACCTGAAAAATATATTGTCAGTTGCTTCTGAAACACAACGGTTGTCAATTATTTTCGAAGGCAATCTGGAAACCATACATTATGACCGTACATTTACCAATTAAATTAATCTTGTGATATTCAAACTGAATATAGGAAGTTGGCCATTCCTTTTCAAGAATTGCTTTCGTAGGAGAAAGTTAAAAATTACAGAGTCTTATCATCTCCACTGAATAAAAAATAAGTGATGGGTGATTTAAGAAAGGCATGATGACCCGAGTTGTATATCATAGTTTTAATAAAGTATAATATTTTTTTCTTAAGTTTCGTGTACCTACGTCAATAACTAACTCTGATGTACAATTTTAACAAGAGTTGTACAAATTGAAATTCCATCGGAGTAACACTGAATCACAGATACACTGAACATGTATGAAAAGATCACAACAACCACAGAACAACTATTGTTGTTGTGGTCCGTGTCTGTGTGTTTATGACGATCAGTGTAACCATTCACACTGTTTTGACAGTGGATCAGCTAATTTCACTTTGATGTCCCTGTTTTCTGTTTCATTCCTAATGTTTACTGTTTTTCAATTAGCTTTTAAATGATTCATTTTACAAATATATAATATCCCTCCAATTATCAACTAAACCAACCGTCACTGTTTTATGGTCCAACTTACTTCAAATGTAAACAAACTCTCCATAACCGTTCATTACCCGCCACCCCCTCTTGCCGATAAATTGTACAGAAAAGGATAGTACGATACCCGCTTCAAAATACATGTATTGTATTGGTATAGACATGGCAACTCTATGTCTTATTATAACTCTGAGCTTAGAATAGTGGTCTAACCACAGAATAGTCTGTGGTCTAACGTCTAATCTACCTTATAGACGTTAGAGCAGTGTTTCTCAAAGTGTGGGCCGCGACGCCCTGGTGCGCCGTGGAACCTTTACTGGGGCGCCGTGTTCAACGGGTGAGTCTCAATGTACAACGTTTTACAACATAGATAACTGGGAGTAAAGGTAATACGTCGGTACCCATTAATAAAAATCCTCTGATAATATATCGGTAATTGCAAAATGCAATCCATTCAAAGAGCCACCTACCTGTAATAATTAAATATCTAGTGTAGTCTTTACGTTCGGGGCACCGCGAAGTTTGAGAAACAGTGCGTTAAAGTTATATTGGATGAGACCACGGAATAATAAGCAATTCTATGAACTCATAAATGATAAAATGCTTCACATATTTTGTTAAAATAGTTTTCTCAATAAAAGGGGCCTTATTTCCAAAGCAGATAAACTCTCACATCAAAAGATACACTTTCTTCCTCTCTTTATTTTAGATTATCTTCTCCTCCAAAACAGAGAGAGGCTTCCGAGTTCATTGTTTTCATCGCCTAAATGAGACAATAGTTAATGATCAGAACTGATTAGTGTTGAAAAGTATCAGTCATTAAAATTTTTAATTATTTTTCAAAAAATGTAAATGATGATTGTACTCATTTGATTATATGAAATAAAACTTATTGGTTTTTTTTTCTCTAGTTACAAGAAATATTTGGTTCTAAAAGTTTTTTTGGTGTTTCAATAATCTTAGTGATCAAGGTACCTTTCGACAATCACTCGTTCGAATGATTCAAATTAAAACCCGTTATCAGCCAATTCTGTCTCTGCAGGCGTAGCGATCATAGATATATACCTTATATCATTATAATTTCTATGGTAGCGATACGTTCCGATCACAGAACTATAGTTCTGTGGTTCCGATGTAAATTACGCCCCCTAGTGGGATGTGGTCGCTACGGTTAGGTGATGAAGGTCGGCGTTTGGGATAGTCCGGAATTTCTTTGTTGAGCTTTTATCGAATATGAGTTTTTGTGTGTTCAGGTGCATTTTATATTCCTTTAATTTGTTGTGATGTAACTTATAATAATTTCTTATTGAATAAAATTGACGTCAGAAAAAAAATTTAATCATTGCTTTTAGTATTTTGTCGTTTGGTTCATCAGTTTTCGGGAAACCGTCTTTCATATTTAACCAGTTTTTCAGTAGTACCATAGTAATATTGATTTTAGAAGCACCGAATCACATTTCTGCTTACTTTTGTTTATTAGGATATGTTCCATAAGTAACTAATTCCTAACCTCCACTAACCAAAATTTTTTACAGCAGTTACCTGAAAAATATATTGTCAGTTGCTTCTGAAACACAACGGTTGTCAATTATTTTCGAAGGCAATCTGGAAACCATACATTATGACCGTACATTTACCAATTAAATTAATCTTGTGATATTCAAACTGAATATAGGAAGTTGGCCATTCCTTTTCAAGAATTGCTTTCGTAGGAGAAAGTTAAAAATTACAGAGTCTTATCATCTCCACTGAATAAAAAATAAGTGATGGGTGATTTAAGAAAGGCATGATGACCCGAGTTGTATATCATAGTTTTAATAAAGTATAATATTTTTTTCTTAAGTTTCGTGTACCTACGTCAATAACTAACTCTGATGTACAATTTTAACAAGAGTTGTACAAATTGAAATTCCATCGGAGTAACACTGAATCACAGATACACTGAACATGTATGAAAAGATCACAACAACCACAGAACAACTATTGTTGTTGTAGTCCGTGTCTGTGTGTTTATGACGATCAGTGTGACCATTCACACTGTTTTGACAGTGGATCAGCTAATTTCACTTTGATGTCCCTGTTTTCTGTTTCATTCCTAATGTTTACTGTTTTTCAATTAGCTTTCAGCGCCACCTATTACACTATGCAAAAAATTTATGAAAACCAATATTATTATTATTATTATATGTAATAAAACACTAGATGGCAGCATCTAATCGTGTCGAGATTCGAGGAGGGAATTCTCCGATCACAGTCTATGTGATTGACAGTCATACTTTTATGCACGGAAAAATCCCAGTGTAATAATGACAGCTACAGGCAGAAGTCCTATTGTATAGCGCATTGTGTTGTGGTTACAGCTTTCAACCTTTAAATCAGTGAAATATAAGTAGGCCCGCCGTTTATATTAATTAACAATATTTACGACTTCTTTTAAAAAATGATAAAAGTCCTAAAAATAATATATGAATCAGCGCCACCGTGAAAAGATTATTTCTTGCTATAAATATTATGAAAAGTAAATTTCGCAACAGAATATCGAGTGCGAAGATGCATCACACACTAAATCCGAAATAACCGATTGCTACTCATTTGAAGCCACAGAAAAGCACATAAATTCAACAAAACTAAGTATGATTTTAAAAAGAAAATGAGTCTGAGAAAACTGAAAATGAGGCAATTGAAAATGAAAGTGGAAAATAAATTTCACTTTGATTTTTGTTTTTCATTATGTTGTGATAGACATTATAATATAATAATGTATGTAAGTCCTGGTAACTAACAAAAGTAGGTGATTGTTTGAATTACATGAAAACAGTATGAATTCTGGCTTTTTTTACTTTGCCTAATGTTTTCTCCTGTTTTTCATTGTTGAGATCATCGACATATTATGTCGGTGGCTGGATGTTGTTTTTTTTAGTTTCTTGATGTTGGCAACACTGGCGACGATTGACTCTTGGATTGACGTGACCTGTGAACCATTGTTTTTCTTAGGTGAATTCAGTTGGCAAAAAGAATTTTGTGTGTTGTGGCATGCTCTTTATATGGTAAATAATTCTTTGTGTAAGTAGAAGTGTCATTTTATTTTCAATATTTCTCAGATGAATCGACAAAAATTTTCGTAAACATACCTAAGACTTTGAAGGTGAAAGAAGTCGACGTTGTCTATTTCCTAAAGAGGATCGTTGCTGATTTTTATTGTTGTAGAATTCAAATACTTCCAAAAATGGATATTGATAATGCTGGTTCTGAAGAGACTGTAAGTGGAAATGGAGGAGTAGACATAGAACAATCCTTCCTTCAACAATTTAGTTGTATGGGTACTACAGACAAAGATGAACTAGTTCAACAACNCACCCCTTTTTAAATGATATTGATACGTTTTATGTAAATTCCAGGGCAATTAGCAAAAGTCAGTCAATGATTTATTACAAATAACATCAAAGTTTTTGTTACACACATCGACCCCTACATTGAAAATCCAGTACCAAAAACATTAAAAACACCTACCTTTGAGGAATTTGTAAATCAGAGTCCAAGCCTGTATTGAAAATGGTGTTTAATGGAATCATACAGTAATAAAAGTTTGATTTAATACGTGTATGTTGCTAAACTATTATGCTCCAAAAATGTACAACTAATGGTGAATTTATGCACACTCAATTAGCAAGTTACGATTAGGAAGTGACGTTTATCAATTATTAGTTGGACTCTCTCCACTTTCCAATGGACATGTATATGCAGAAAAATTAAGAAGTATTGAATAACAAGTGACGAGTAGAAGTGGGCCAACTTTCTTACTTCAGTTATACGAAATTTCATACTAGTATGCATCTAGTGCGCAAATGAACGCTTATTTCAGAACATAGAACAATATAAACAGCCTTATAATTTTAAAATTTTTGAAACAGGCTGTGTTCTGTTTCATCATTCTTTTAATATTCTACAGACTAACTCTTCGCTGATGACTTATGTGGTAAATGAGAGAGTGTCGAACCTCCATTAGCAAATTTGTATATTTTAACGTGTTGATATTTTACTATAAATTCTATTATATTTTAATATTATGACAAGATTACCTATATGTAGTATGTGTGTATGTTTGTATATATGTGTACATATAACTATGTATTTATATATGATACATATGAGGAATGAACCGTTTCAGTTTATTAGAGTTCAGTTGCCCCAAATACGGTTCAAATTTTCCAAAAACACCACTCATATTAGCATCAAATAATACCATTTACTTTTCAGGATAACCCCCCTCCAGATGGAAGTGGTTCGTCAATGTGCTAGTACCTACTCTCAGCCACTTAATAGTGCCACATCGGAACCACTTTTAGTGATTTTGAGACTGGATGAAATGATATGAAGCATGTGAAAGAGTGATTTCTGTATGTAAAATTAGGGATAGATTAATAATTTTATATATTATTCGACGTTATAAATAATATCAATGTATTTGATATTTGTGTTAGTCACATACTACAGTGATCTCTGAAATGCAGCCACCTCCCAAGGTTTGTAAAGTTGAACAAGATGCCTGAACCATTGTTTTTCTTAAGTGAATTCAGTTGGCAAAAAGAATTTTGTGTGTTGTGGCATGCTCTTTATATGGTAAATAATTCTTTGTGTAAGTAGAAGTGTCATTTTATTTTCAATATTTCTCAGATGAATCGACAAAAATTTTCGTAAACATACCTAAGACTTTGAAGGTGAAAGAAGTCGACGTTGTCTATTTCCTAAAGAGGATCGTTGCTGATTTTTATTGTTGTAGAATTCAAATACTTCCAAAAATGGATATTGATAATGCTGGTTCTGAAGAGACTGTAAGTGGAAATGGAGGAGTAGACATAGAACAATCCTTCCTTCAACAATTTAGTTGTATGGGTACTACAGACAAAGATGAACTAGTTCAACAACTACAAAAGCTTCTTGGAAGTCACTTGAATTATGCCACTGCTACTTTCTTTTTGGATATGAACAACTGGTATGCTCATTTACAAAATATTTGATAATAATTTACCCATATTTTGAATTAAATGGTGTATCAAGTTCACTATTATTTTGTGCTATCAAAAGTTTTGAGAATGTAATCGTGGATAAGATAAATAATGGGACTAGTGTTGGTGTTGTTTTAGGAATCTTCAAGCTGCGATCTGCTCATATTTAGATATAGAGACACCCACTCAATTGCCGTCCATGGCTTTAGTTTCTGACCCTATTGCTAATGAAACAGAGAGCATAGAACCAAATGTAAGGTATGTGTAATAACCATGATTAGGATGATATGGAAATCAACAGGTCTTATGCTTTGATTTCTTTAGTTTTCAGAAAACCTGGCATATCTGCAATAATGGAAATGAAAAATGGCCTCCCCACTGTTATGCTCAATGTTCAGATGGTGATAATTTAGGCGGAGATAGAGTTTCAGTACCATGCTTGAATCCGGGGGAAGGAATGCATTTGAGTGTTTTTATGACTGGACCTTCTGTACCTGGTATATATCAAAGTAAATGGAGGATGTGTACTCCCAAAGGTGCTTATTTCGGAGGTAAGTCAAGAGTAAAAGTAAACCATTTGATAAAAAGAATTTTATGTACTTTTGCTGATTTTCTTCAAGAATGATGCAATGGTAACTATTTGTTTTAACGATGTCAACTTGGAGGTACGGAGCACCATGTTTTGATTTCAGATTACTGGTCATGAAACAAAAATAGTAAGTCTAATGAACAATTTTTCGAAAAACCAATGCAAGTTGTTGAACCAAATAGTTATCAGTTTATGCGATATTCAAATTCTGATTATATTATATATTGTTCTAGATCCTATGTGGGCAATAGTTACAGTTGTAGAAGAAGGTACTATCGCCCTTACAAATCAACTATCACATTTTAAGGAATTGGGAGCAATACCTCCATCAGTGAATTCGCACAACCCTTTTGTCCCCCAAAGATTACACCTAGGAAACAATCAAGTAAGATATTTTCTTATATAAAAATATTGAAATATTTTTATTGTTCACTTCCTTATGTTTGGTGGGCCTAGTGACCTTTATGTCAACTTTAAACTACATATTTCCCTGATACAACCATATCACCCCTNATTTTCCATGTTACTAGCAATTTTTTTTAAATTCAATATAATTCAAAAACTTGTGCGAATTTTTTATATTTTTCGAATTTGCGAAACTCATAAGAATAATACATTGCTTGAAAGTCCTGAGTTGTCTGTTGCTTAAACAAGTAATAATCACTCAAGCTGATTTTATGTTTATTTAAAAATAGTAATTGTCATTTTTTGCACAAGTACCTTTTTGAGGTTTTCATTAGTTTTTGCACAGCATTAATGTTTTTTGACACAACTGGACTTGGATGACCTTGATTACTTACATAATGGCATAGGGCTTCATTATCAAAAGTTGAAGTAATACATCTGCCACGGTATTCCACCTCAGATGTCAGTAAATCATTGAAAACCTCAAATGGCTAAATAACAAGAATTTTATCGTCAAAAATATCGGGATATAATTCAAAATGGCAACACCCTGTATTTCCAAGGAACAAAAAAGCCAAAATAGCCCTTGTATTTTGAATATTTAAAAATGTGTGCATTTTTCCAAGTCATTATATTTTTTATGTAGGAAATTCTGTGAATTCAAAGAGAGGCCATTAATTAATTTTCTACTTCTCCATCTCTATAGAAAAAATAATCTCTCCTAAAAATATACCCTTTTCAATCTAGGCCGTTAACTGTATTGACTGAACTAGTAATCATCTAAAGAATTCAGAGTCCAAAGTTCAATAATTTGACTTCAATGTGAAGTGAAATCTCAATACCGTAAAACGGGGCTACTTGATACCGTTTTTCAGATTTTACGTTCTACCTTGTTCAAACAAAGCTACGTTCATCAAAACAAAAATTATTTCAGATTACTTTGGGGTAATGGTTATCAGGTGTAACACTAAAAAAATGTAGCCCTCGCCACACTGGAGAAAAAAATTTTGAAACACACTTTTTCAAGTAGCCCCTTTGTGGGGTTACTTGATATTTGTTTGAAAATCGCATCTAAAATATAAGTATACTCACAATTGAGGCTACTTGAAACGCAAATTGTTTTAACAAAACCCGCGGGTAGCAACTTAATGAAAAAATATGGGATTTGTGGCAAAAATAGTTGTTTTATTTACGTTGTTAAAAAATACATAGTGTATAAACAACAAATTATTGAAAAATCAAATCACTTTTAACAAACTAAGTGAAAACTATTAGGTAAAGTAAAGAAAAACAACTAAGTACAATGATTCTAAATTAAGTCTGTAAATTTTATTGGTCCTCTTCTCAAAACTTCGTATTCTAGAAGCCGTTTCTTTATTTCGTTTTTTTTTGACTATGCCAATATCTTTAACCCTTGGAAAAATATAAGCACCTTTAATCTTGTCGCTCATTCTTAAGAAACTATACATGTA